TTAAATTTCTATTGCATTTTGCACACTAATATCGTGATGATAATAGTTTTTATGGTTATCATTTGTTGCAAATAGTACTTCAGAACTAGCCAACTCACCTGCACTTTTAAGTACAATTACGATAAGCTATCACAATTTCTCTGTTGTGAATCTGTCTTAATGAAATCTCTGATTAGATGTAGATATTTTCTGAGTTTAGCAGTGGACGTTGGTTGACGTTATTGTCATTTTAAATTGCATAAAATATATTGGTTCATTTGATAATATTTGGAGATATATGGTCTATATTACCAGACTTTCGGCATCCTGAAATTCTCCGACATGATTTTTATTTACTATTACCTGTTGATCATGTTTTCCTGACCAATGTTTGCACCATTTCACTATATCGTTGTCACCAATATATGTGCCGTTCTATAGGCAATTTTTGATATCTTTGTAGCATCCATCATTCAATAGTCATCGGTCTTTCTTCTGTTAGATTTAGTATTCTTCCTTCAAAGTTAACTGAACAACAACTAGTAATTTCAAGACATCACTGTTATAATGAATGGTAATGAAAGTAGATGCTATACTATAGACGCATTAAGCAAATTATTATTATTATTATTGTTTCCCTTAGTTCCTAGAGGAACATACGGCTTCAGCCGAACGTCTCCATTGCGTTCGGTTCTCTACCAACGTTCTCACCTGGTTACACGTGTGCCAACATGCTTTCATCTCCTCCACGTCGCCCTCTCACTGACGACCAACCAACTCGCCGCTGTTTAAAGATGTCACTTGATGGTTTACTCAAATTATGGCCAATCCAATCCACCTCCATTTCTTCCTGCATATTTGTTGCACAATTGGTTCCTGCTGGGTTGATTCGCTTCCAAAGATCCCCTACTATTGCTGATCTTTTCTGGATAGCCATCTGATCTATAGTAGTACTGACAGAAGACAGGTGTTGATGAAGGTCTGTCGTTTTTTTGAGGTGCTCTTCGTGACGCGCCAAGTCTCTGATCCGTATCGTAAGCAGTACTGACTTCACATTGGACTTGAAAATCCTGTTGTTGCTGCTGTTGGTGTTGGCGTTGACCAGGAATCTTCATTACCTACGTCTCTTTTCTCTATTTTCACCTGAAGTCCTATCTTCTGTGGATGCTTCTTCTGCCAACTTGTTGCTTTTCACTTGCATATCTTCCAGTTTGTGGGAAATCAGACATATATCATCGGCGAAGTGCAGATCATCCGAGTTTTTGTGTGGGTCACTTTTATGCCTGTTTCCTCGTTGTCCGGCCCGCTGTCGGTCGCATTACCTAGTCTGCTGCAGTCAGGAAAATCATTGGAGACAGTAGATGAAGGAAATAAAGGACTTAACGTTCACTTTGATTCACCTAAATTTAATATCATTTGCACACTAATATTGACGTTTAACGGTTCGAAATAGATATGGCTCAGTAGCTAGAGACTGGTATTCTATGGAACCGAACAGCGAAATTTGTTATCTAAGCCATTTTATATGAGAATTCTGGTGCACTTCATAACTTATTTTTAATTTGTTCTCGTATGTGAACATAATTCCGTTGCAAAGTAATTGATTAAAGAGGTTTTAGTGTATCATACTTTGAAAAATATGGTTTTTTCTTAATCTCTCCCTCCCCCTCCTCCGAAGTAAATGATCAACACCAATACCATAAAATCAAGATTAATTCACAGTACTTTACAAGACTTGAAATTCTGATATAAGTATAAAACTTAGGCACTGTGGTAGAGTATAACTCTATTATAGATAAGATTTTATTTTGATAAATCACAGAGTGTTGTACAGTAGTATTAACTAATGACCACGTTTCCAGCACAAATTATTGATGCTCATGTCTGTCTGTCTGTTTTCGACATAGAACTTTGCACAAATGTGCGGAAGTTCAAGTCGCCACATTCCGTGTAGCACGCGAAGCAAGAGAAGAAAGTACAAGAAAAGCAAATAGAAACAGTGAGCAGAGGTGTGAGACAAAGGAGTAATAAAGAAATACAAAACAGTTTCATTGGAGATCATAAGTCACAGGGAGTGGATGCATCTGCGCCACTGAGAACGATTTTGAGCCATGTCACCAATTGTTTCCAACCATAGATTTTTGCCGTCCCGAGGACCCCAGCCTGGAAGTCTACACCTTCCTACGTGGCTAAGACCAACTGTTGTGGATTTCATTGACTGATGCCAAGTTTTTGTTTGACCGCCGCTAGCTTTTTTCCAGCCTGACCCTATATCCGCTAACATTGCTCGTCGAGGGAGGCGATGGCTTGGCATACGTAACACATGTCCTAACCATCTCAGTCGATGTAGCTTCACGACTTCGTCGATTGATTTCCCCTGTTTACCTAGAACTCTACGCCTAACCTCCATGTTGCTCACCTTATTATGCCACTTTACACGGGATATAGAACGCAGGCACCTATGATCAAAGACAGCTAGTCTTTTCATGTCTTCCACTCTGAGTGGCCAGGTCTCACAACCATAAAGGAGGACGGAGCGGACTGATGAGCAGTACACCCGCCCTTTGGTCGATAGTCGAACATCTCGTCTACGCCAGAGTCGGCGTAAACTAACAAATGCGAAACGAGCCCCTTGTATTCGTGCTGAGATTTCGTCAGAGATCAGCCCGTTGGGGCTGATGGTACTTCCCAAATAAGTGAAGCGGTCAACGTGCTCTACCACTTCACTTCCTATTTCTAAACTAGGAGCCAGTGTAGTCCAGTCCTGTAACATCATCTTGCATTTGGCGGGAGCGAATCGCATGCCAAACATTCGTAGATTGCTGTTCAAGGTGTTTAGAAGACTCTGCATTTCGTCAGCGTCTTCGCCTAGAAGGACTATATCGTCTGCATATTCCAAGTCAACGAGATTATTCCCAGGTAGCAAGTCAATCCCTGAATCGCTGAAGTCACCTAGGGTTAAGTCCATTAACACATCTATGATGAAGTTGAATAGAAAAGGAGATAATGGGCATCCTTGACGGACACCACTGGTCGTCACCAGTTCAGATGACAGCTCGCCGTAAGCCCTCACCTGGCTGTATGAGTACGAATAGAGTGCCTTAATCAGTGCAATATATTTTCTCGGAATTCCCTTGACAGCCAAGCATCTCCAGAGAACTTCCCGATCGACAGAGTCGAATGCTGCCTTTAGGTCAAGAAATATAATGACTGTTGGACGCCGGTAGGAATGCCTATGTTCTAGAATCTGTCGGAGGGTGAAGATATGATCAATACACCCTCTTCCTGGTCTAAAGCCTGCCTGGCTCTCTCGTGTTTGTGCTTCCCGAGCACCACTCAGTCTACGCATGATTATTGAGCCTAAGACTTTAGATACTATATTAGTCAAGCTAATCCCTCTGTGATTATCACAGGAAGACTTGTCTCCCTTCTTGTATATGGGGATAATCAGTGACTTACACCAACCCGATGGGACTTCTTCTGATTCCCAAACGTTGCCTAGTACCTCAGTTAATCCGGACAGTAAGCTGTCTCCACCGTACTTAAATACCTCTGGAGTCATTCCATCAGGTCCCGCTGCTTTGCCTAGTTTCAGATTGGTGACAGCTTTAGTAACCTCAGTTAGTGACGGAGGACCTGTATCTATATCCCATTCAGGGAGGTGTTGGATGCTCGGAAGGTTGAGCGTGGCTGTGGGCAAATTAAACTGCTCCTCATAATGCTCTTTCCAACGATCCAGTCGTCTATCCTGTGAGCTAATTATAGTGCCATTTTTTTCCGAGATTGTCTCACTAATGATTTGTCTTCTCCCACCCGTTTCCCTGATGAGTCCAAAGAGTTGCCTGGTGTTGCCTATCCTCGAAGCTTTCTCCATCTCTTTGGCTTTTGTCGCCCACCACTGTTCACGGTCCTTGCGGAGACTTTTCGTAAGTTTCCTCTTGTGCAGCTTTCGCTCCTCATTGAATTCGGAGCTCGCCGGAATAAGTCTTCTAGCATCTATCAGTTCGGATGAGGCGGTGGAGATCCAGTGGTTTTTACTCACCTTTGGGTTTACCTTATTCACAGCTTTTACAGCTGTATCTATGGCTGCCTGGATATAATATCAGGTTATATATATATATATATATATATATATATTATATCAGGTTACTCACACAACTTCTTTCCTGCATTTATATACATGTGTGGACTCGATTAGATATTGGAATAAAAGTCAATATAGGATGATGTACATACATTCAGAAATAATAATATGAGTGTTATTGATGAAATGCAATCAGATGGAAAATAAGATGTTTGCATATTTTGAAAGAAGTATATTTTTTTCCTTCACATTCCCCAGTGGAACATAGGGCTTCAAGCTAGAGGCTTGAAGTGTTTCTGTAGCAGTGTAAATTTTTACAGGATGGGGTTGCCAGCCTCATGTCCAACCTTTCCTCTTCACCAGCTTTACTTCTGGCTGAGTGAGATAAAGGAGTGCGTCGGTGGCCGGTGATCGAACCCCGGACCATGTGCATGGTCGGTGAGCGTCCCAACCTCTATGCCACTGACGCACAAAGAAGTGTATTACATCTAACAAATTAATTTATAGTTGAATACTCTGAGCTCTTTTAGCTTTTATTTACGCGCAGCAATGTGGTGGTGAGTGGCAACCATTGGCAAACCAACAGGGAGTACTGGACAGCTGTTTCTGTTGCCCTAGTTTGGGACCGGCTCTTCATCAGTGCGCACCCGGCGCCAGGGTTCGAACCCACGACCTGATGAGTGCTTAGTAATGAAGAGCCGGTCCCAAACTAGGACAACGGAAATAGCTGTCCAGTACTCCCTACCGGTTTTCCCATGGTTCTCTAACTGATGTCAGCTCATGATGAAATCCTCAAATCCAATCAAACAAAAAATCCTTACAAAAACCAATACTTGAAAAATGAAATATCTATTTAATGTGGATTTATGGAATTTTTATAGCTGCTTTCCACTATCATTGTCTGTTATTATTTTTTATTTCCCACCTATTCATCTAGGTCCTGCTATTTTCATCGGTTCAACGACGAACTGTCTAAGAAGTAATGATTCAGTATCACATTGATGAATTTCATGCATCACTTAGACGACCATATCAAACTAGTGCCTACTTTCAACACAATCTACATAATGTTGTTCAATAATAACGATAATAATAATATCTACCTCTTTCAGAGACCGGGAAAGCAAAATGATAACATATAACCGACCGTTCATATCTGCAAAAAACAAGTAATCATTTTCTAATATATATATCCAGGGAAGTATTCAAAAATTGACTGTGTATTTCAATTCCACTGTAAATATGAATATAAACTGTATTTGGCGTACAAATTAAAACAAATAAAATAAGAGAGAAGAAACAAAATCTTCTTAAGATTTTTTGTTTTGTTCTAATTTTTTTTTACGTGAGAAGATAGCGGGAAAAACTGGCATCGATGAATAACGCTCGTCCAAGCACTAATGAAAAACAAAAGTTGTTCAGCTGAAGAGCTCCGTTTTGGCTGCTTCATTTTTCTAATCAGCTGTACAATCCCATTTATGCGCCAAAATTCTTCTCAAACTGAAATATTCATGTATAAAAGGTGAATTGTAACAGGTGTGGCTGCTACATGTGTTAATCAGTACATGAGAGAGGTTGAATAGGAATGATAGAATAATGTATGTAATGAGGTGAACAATTTAACAGGGAATGAGTTGTAATCAGGATGTATATAGAAACGGGTGAAATGTGATGTTAGATAAGACTTTCAAAAAGTAGAAGAGTTAAAAATGGGTTGAAAAGAACATGGTACAGATTCCTCTCTCTCTCTCTCTCTGGATGGCTAGAGCAAATGATAGCATATTGTCTTTGGCAGGTTTTTTTCACTTTGTGGATTACATTGAAACATGAATTTGTTGAAATAGAATAACGGGTCCTGATGAGGTGTTCAGTTATCGTACTCCTCATAGAGACGCTACTACCCTTCTGCAGTCATGTGGGATAGTATTTTCAAACTATTTTTCAAGCAGGAATTGCTTATATACCTGGCTCCACAGGAAAATGTGAACTGCTACAGGTAAATAGAAGCAGTTATATGCTGGATAGTATCATTCACTCTTCAGCAAATCAGTTGGCGATTGAATAACACTACTGCTGGCATCCCTCAGAAGAATGTTCTCAAAAGTGTTGAAATTCTTCTCTTAAAGACACCACAGACTAGTGTTCCCTTGAAATTAAGGTTCACTTGAAGTTTGTTTCCTGGCATAAACCATATCTCCTGTCTATAAATTTCCGGTTTCATATTCTCGTCAGTAAATCTCTACAATATATCTCTACAGATATAATAATAATAACAGCTTTACTCCAAACAGTATTTGTGGTACAGGTATGGAATTTTCAGCGTGCATTACAATATATTGCATCTAATTACCTCATAAATTTCATAAGATTTTAAAATCAAAAAGCAACAACCAAAAAAAAGAAATAAAAAGAACAGCGTTGCGTTTACATTTTAAACAATTCACCACATGATTATTATATATTATATTATTGTATCCTTTAGTTCCTAGAGGAACATAGGGCTTCAGCTGCGCACCTCCATTGACTTCGGTTTTCTGACAACTTTTTCACCCTTCTCCAGGTCTGTCCACATGCTTTCATCTCCTCCTCCAAGTCACCCTTGGACGACCAACTCGCCGCCTCCCTTTCGGGTTCCACTCGAGGGCTTGTCTAGTGATGTCACCTGATGGTTTCCTCAGCGTATGGCTAATCCATCTCCATTTCTTTCTGCCTATTTGTGTCACAATCGGTTCCTGATTGGTTCGCTCCCAGAGATCCCTGTTGCTGATCTTTTCTGGCCATCTGATCTTGAGTATTGAACGGAGACAGTTGTTAATGAAGGTTTGAAGTTTGTTTGAGATGCTCTTTATGACTCGCCAAGTCTCTGACCCGTATAGTAGCACTGACTTCACATTGGAGTTGAAAATCCGGATCTTATTTTTGATGCTGATTGTTGTTGACCTCCACACAGATTTGAGAGTAACGAAGGAAGGAAAACAAAACTAATGAGAACCATTTGTTAGAGTGCCGCAGTATGTTGAATTCTTCTTCTTGAGAGTCAAGAAAGGGAACTTCAGATTTTTTTCCACTTGAAGAGTTGATTTGTCTCCGGATGACAGTCATTAAATTGCTTGTAAGAACTGTTTATGCTCAAATTTATTAATGAAAGTAATAACAGTGTTGTCCACATATATACAATTAAAAATTATCAATAGTTGTCCCTAATAAACAATTCTAAAGGCTTGCCATGGAACATTCTACAACCCTATCCTTCTGTTTGTAAATTATGTCAAGGAATGTGGATTATACGTCGTCATCATGTCTCTAGCTCTTGTATGTTGACTACCACAGAAAGGTGCCTGCAGTGCAGCGAAAGTAAATGTTAGGCGATACAAAGTTTTTTTTAATTTTTGATTACAGCTTGATTCTACACCGTATTACTTGGTACAGGTATGGAATTTTCAGAATGTGATATCGGTAGCCAAAATTTAGCAGGCCGACCATAGATATCAAGTGTGTGTCGGCAGTAGATCGAACCTCGGACCTTATTCATGGTCGGTGATGAGTGACATAACCTCTGTACCACCGACGCACAACACATTATGGTGGTCTTACTTTTTTTAAATCTTGTATGTATGTATGTCTTTCCGGTGTGTTTCAACAGTGATCAGATCATATAGGAAAGATTGAAAAGTGATATAATTACACAATCTTAACGAATTAATAAAGTAGAGTGTAGTACATTTGATTAAGTGTATTTCTCAAGATTGTTATCCAATAGATTTTCGGTTAGCTGCTAAGCGTATTGAGAAGAGAATTCTGACAGTTAATTTACGCACTAATCCATAACTTTGCAAGACATTTTACCCGGCATTTTCAAATCATTTTGTTAAATATGAAATGTAACCTCATTATGGTTTTCTTTATTCCTTCACGTTCTCAGCGGAACATAGGGTTTCAAGCTAGAGGCTTGAAGTTTCTGTAGCAGTGGTGATTATTTTCACATGATGTGGTTACTAGCCTCATGTGCAGCCTTTCCTCGTTACCAGCTTTACTACTGGCTTAGCGAGGCAAACGAGTGCGTCAGTGGCCGGTGATCGAACCCTGGACCATGTGCATGGTCGGTGAGCGTCCTAACCACTGTGCCACCGACGCACACCGCATTATAGTAGTCCTGATTTTTATAAAATGCTGATGATATGTTCTAGTACAGATTGTATAGTAAGATTGTGGTGGTGTGATATAGAAAATGTGTTACAATGGGATTTCATTCTCACAGTTCAATGGTGCATTAGCAACAAAATACCATACATGGATTTGAACATTCTATTTCATGTCGTTTAATGTAAACTAAAATCATTCGCTCAATGATTGGTTAAAGAATATAAACTTTTTAGGTATAAGTAGCGGTTAGATCACTTGTAAACATACCTTGGCTTTCGTAGCTTGTCTTCTGCTGTAATAAGATGATCAGAAATATCCCTCTACTTCAAAGAATTGTATCTGAAAGTAATCCAGTAGTCTCCAGTTTCTATCACTTACGGTATCATATGAATGACATATGTGTATAGACTTTTGTGTCTTATAGATATTGGTTGGAGGATTTCATCATGAGCTGACATTAGTTAGAGAACCATTAGAAAACCTTCAGGAAGTACTGGACAGCTATTTCATCCTAGTTTGGGACTCTTCATCATCAGTGCGGACCCCTTGCTAGGGTTTGAACCCACGACCTTCTGGTTACAAGGCGAGTTACTTCGTAGACTATTAGACCACCGGGACCCACCCGATCCACTGGCCAGCCCATGCATTCCAACTTCTGCCAATTCATGACATAGCGTGACCACTAGCCAATGTCTTCTTCGATGAGTTACTGCCTCACCTTCAATCTGCTGTACTTTACTGATCACGGCTTCCCATTATAACCACAGGTTAACTCCCTGGAATAGGATCAGTCGTTAGTGAGCATCACATTAATTTTCAAGTATTTCTTATTTAGGGAATTTTGTTTGATTAGTTGAAGGATTTCATAATGAGCTGACATCTATTATGGAACCATTGGTATAAAGTTGTTTAAACGAAATCCATTTATATGTATGTTAAAAGTTTTCATCTCTCTATGACAACTGATTTCACACAAAGATGAACTTCTTTTGAGGGACACTGGTAAGGTTGCCTTATTCTGTATTGTTTTTTTTGTAATACAATAGGATATATATATAACTGTATATACTTTCATCACAAATGGACGCCAGTTTAACGATAATTTCTACTCACTACTAATGCAGTACATGCATTAAAACATTTCTTGTGATTAATTAATACTACTAAATACGTTAGTTTAACAAAGCAAATGTACTTTAGATTTTTTTATTATCACTGTATACACCTTCTAATAAATAAGCTTTTAATCACTATAAAGTTAAACTGTATGCTGCAATACACTTCCTGAATACTAAGACCTTAAACTGTTTACTATCTATCGCTAGTAAGTAAGTAAGTAAGTATGTTTGCCTCAGAAATAGTTATGCGTATATATTTTATTTTCAAATTGTATTTTCTTCCTCCTTAAATATCGATTGTGAAATTGCTTTGCTTTTATTTTTCATGCTTGACTTTTCAATGAGTTGTTTTTGTTGTGTACATAGGTAGGTAGGTAGGTAGGTAGGTAGGGGTATATTTTGTTTCTGTTTGGTGTGTATGAGATAAGTTTTACTTCCGTGTTTCATTCCAGACAGCTTAGAAAGCACAAAACAAAACATCCTATCCTTGTGATAACTTCCTTATGGAAAGTAACTACTATGCTTTTTACTATTGTCATATAGTTAAGCCAGTTGAGATGTATTCGATATGAAGTGAATTTATCTGATATTTATTATTAATTACCAGACAGTGAGTGACCATAGCAGTCAAGAATTTTTGACTGATGTCCTTTGTTTTTTTCAATCTGTTAGTAAAAAAATACTCTGTCGTTGATTTGACTTTCAAGTTATCAAGTCACTGGAGTGTAGTTTCTTTTAGGCATCATTCACAGAACGCCGGAGTTATGTCTGCAGGTAGACACGTTAAATGTGACAGCTGAGAAAATTGATATAAGTATAAAGCTTGGGAACTGTGCTAGCGTATAACTCCATTATAGATAAGATTTAATTTGTATTTATAAAGTCTAACAGTAAGGTACAGTAATATTAACTACAGTAGAGTAATAGGAGTAAAGTAACATTAACTAACAGTTAATATTACTGTATAACACTGTGTGATCTCAGTATAGAAGAAAATCCCCATTTAGACACATAGAAAAGAGAAAGATTGAGCGAAGAAATACCTTATTTTTCAATTATA